GCCTCCACATACATACTCAAGAAATGTTGCATGTTTAAATAACTGAGAGTGTGCTAAATCTCATCTAATAAAAGGAGGAGGGGGTTGGGGAACTCAGACCACAGTCATGTAAACCTAAGGGTTGGGCCTGAATGACGATTACTTTGCACACGTGCCTTCTAGGTGCTGAATGGTTTTCCGGTGGCATTGACTTTGATCTTGCAGATTCAGCCACAGGTTTCTGATAAGAAGCTTGAGGAAGCAATGGTAATTTTAGCTTTTTTGGTTTTGTCTTCAGATGATGAAAAGCTTTTGTAAAACAGCTGAGTGTCAATATGAGTTATATGGCTTCAATCTCCTTTAAAAATAAAATTCTTAAGCGTGCAAAACAAAGAAGATTAGACAAATTTAGGAGATATACCTAATGTAAATGGCGAGTTAATGGGTGCAGCACACCAACATGGCACATGTATACATATGTAACAAACCTGCACGTTGTACACATGTACCCTAGAACTTAAAGTATAATAAAAAAAAAAGGGGGGGGGGAGGAAAGAAAAAAAAAAAGAAAACCAAACCAAAAACAAAACAAGAAAAACAAAAAAAGCTGATGTTGCCACAAATCATTTGAAATCTCCTGACATGCTGAAACCAAATGGCCGTAAGTTCAAAACAAATCAGTGACTTGTTTTTAATTTTTTTGTGGTTTCCTTTTGCTCTTTCTGCCCCTTTGCCGTCTGATTGGTGATGTTATTCAAAAAGGATCGGATCTCTGCTAAGTGCAGGAGCCACCCGGTGCTTCTTTCATCTCCTCTTCTTCGCCTTGGTGGGGGGCCGTGGGGGGAGGGGTGATTTTCAGTGCATCTCTTTTTGAGGGGCAGTGTGTCTCTGGGGACTTTCCTGGACTTAGCAAAGTCCTGGCGTTTCTTGTGCTGGGATGCGTACCCGCTGTCCCCCAGAGCATCCTTAGGCTCCTTCTGGCTGTGTTTCCTGTCTTCCTCTTCCCTGTCACTGTGGCTCTCATGGCTCTGGAAGCTCCCCTCGCTGCCCTCATTGCCCTCTTGCCTCTCCGTGCTGGCAAACTTGCAGTGGTCGTCGACCGAGGAGGAGGAAGGGATGGAGTCGCTGGTGGGCGAGGTGCTCCGGGCGTTGGAGGATTTGGCATTGCTGTAGTTGTGATCCTCCTTGGGATCTCCGCTGACCACCAAGGAGCCACACGATGGCTCACTCTCAGTCCGCATCCTCTCCACTAACCACCGAGGAGCCACACGATGGCTCGCTCTCAGTCCACATCCGGCAGCTGGTGATGCCATTCCTTATGGCAGCCGTCATCTCAATGGGACTGATTGGCAGCTGCCACCCACCGGGAAACAGTCCTCTCAGCTCAGGACCCGCACTCTGCTTTGTATCGCTCCTGGAGGAAAACCTGCTTGTATCTCAGGGGGAGTATCATGGCCCTGGTAGCATCAATGTCAGGATCTTGGAGAAGGGATCCATTTATCTTGAAGAAGGTACTGCCCGGCCAGACGGGTGGACCTGATGTGCTTTGATATGCCTGAGGACAGGTGGGAGGTGTATTGAGCACGTGTGGGTATGGGTGTGGGTGATAAGGTGTCTTTTTCAAAGCCTGAGTCAGATTTTGTCTATACTCTGGGTGTATGCACCACAACGACCCTTTCCCAATACTCTGACTCCTCTCTTTGTCCACTTTCTTAAAATACTTATTCAATGACAAATTGTGTCTCACTGAGTATTTCCACCCAGTAGGTGCATTTGCAAAATACAGAAAATGTTCCGAGATCCAGTTGTAAATATTTTTCACTGGCAGGCGCTTGGTTGAAGAGTCCTCAATGACCATAAATATAAGGCAGCTAAAGGAGTAAGGGGGGGTTGCAGTTGGGGTTCTACCTGGCATCGTAGGGCATATCAGAGTGGGTGGGGACGCAGACTGTCATCCTCCAGGTCCTGGACCGGGCTGATACTCTTGAGGATTGACTCCCCAAAGCTCTTCAGCAAGTTCTTGCTTTCATGCAACCAGCTCAGGTTGGTCAGCTCTTCATCTTCCATGGTCCCTACTTTCAATAGGATGTCAGGCAGAGAAAAGTTGAGATCATCGTCTTTCTAAAAGGCCTTGGAGAAACCGCTGCCCCAGTAACACTGACTCAGTCCACCGCAGACACTAACTCCTGAGCTTTCTGGCATCTTACTGGGAGGCACGACGGGACCCATTTACATGAAGGCTCCTGAGTCGGAATGGGTCCAGGAAACCGAGGTCAGCATTGCTTCCGTCACAGAAAGGACAGAGGGGCCTCCATAATCACGAGAATGCTGGTCTTCTAGGGGCTTCGATCACCTGCCCCCGGGCTGCTTCTCGTGGCCGCATTGCGGGGATGCGGCGACGCTGGACTCGCGTGTGGCCCAGTCGCTGGATGGCGCAGTCTCCCAGCCGAGCTGCTGCCGGAACCCCGGCTCCTGTGTCCGGAGCCCGCCTGGGCCAGAAGTTAGCTTTTTTAATTCACTAAAGGTTTAGGATTAATAGTTCGTGAAACTGTTTTACACATTTTAGGGTGACTCCAAAATTCTTCATCAATATTAGACACATGCTGCTTATGAAAATGCAAAATAGATGCAGTTTTTCTACAAGATCTTTATAAGCTTATGCATTTGCCTGGCACATACTTTTGTAATTTCCACTGAGAGTGAAAATCATCAAATCTTACTCATCTTTGCATCTCTCACTAAGCATTATAGCCGGACACAGAGAGGTGCCCATTAAATGTCTGTTTACAAAACAACAGACATCAAAGGAAAGCTTTAGATCTGGAATAACTAAAAATATTCTGACATTATTTGGTATATGTTAAATAGTTCATAATAAAATTTATTATAATTTAAATAGTGCATAATAACATTTTAAAAATCCATGCAACAAGAATGTCTCATATGATGAATTCCTAGAAATGATGCTGCAAGTTCAGAGGTCTGTAAATTATGTAAAATGTAAGTGGTGAATATTTTTCAAACAAATGTATATTGTGAAATTCAAATATTATAAACTGTTTAATTTACAAAACAAAATATAAAGAAGAAAGCCATCATGATTACTTCCTTAACTCAGCAATGGCAGCAATATTCTTAATCTTCATTACTACACACAAACACACTCATGTAGTAATGTGTGTTGCTCATCCTATGTACCAGTGGAATACAGGATAAGGGATGTGGCCTACCTAAGGTGCTGTAAAGAGAAGTGGGTCTGTTTCTTACTCTAGTGCTCTCTCCAACAGATTAACACCTATTTATTCTTCTGAACACCTTTCCTAATTAGCCTCCAGAGAAATCAGTAGACATTACTTTTGTAGACGTTCCCAGTCTTCTTAAAACAATTAAAGAATGGGGCAGGGAAATGAGCACATCAATGAGATCACTCTGTTATTATCTAACTCTTCTTCCCCAGAAGCTATTGTCTTTGAATTTGCACAACAACAAAGTTTGCTGGCTGGATGACCTGTCTAACATTATAAAAAAGGCCCCCAAAGTCAAGATCCTGAACCTCTCTAAAAATGAGATGAGAAGAAAGGGCCAGATCAAATTTGGGTTGAGGGTAAATGGTAGTGCATATCAGGATGATAACAAGAAATAGGATCCCCAGCAGACACAGGCCAGCTCCTGGAAATGCCCTCACTGGCCAGACCACCCACTCTTGCTCTTCTTTTTCTCCTAGGAGCAGCTTGCGCAAGTACTTCAAGGATAGCGGAAATATAAAAATGCTCAAGTTTGTGATGGGGAAGACTGGGCAAGGTAAGGGGGTGTGATGGGAACAATCACAGGGGCCAAGGACCAGGGTGTGGCAGCACCCCCAACCCCAAATCCTTGCTTCTCTTCTCTACAGACCTGCGGGGGCAGCTGCTGAAGCACACAAAACATGACATTGTAGACTCCCTCAGTGTGTTGTCCGAAACTCAACATGACATCAGCTCCTTCCTGGTGGACATAGATACCAGAAGGCGAGCACCTGCTTCCTCCCTTGGACAGGCCCAGAGAGCCAGAGGTGGGTAGGAGGTTAAGGGGGATCTTGAGCACCAGAGCTCTTCCCTTTCAGAAATGGATGCTCTACTTTTCCGTCTATGGTGTGTTGAAAGAAGGTGAGTGTCTGTAGAGTCCCCTCCCCAAATCCCCCACTGCTCCCTCCCCCTGGCTGGGCTCCCTCTCAGAACTCTCCCAGCTTCCCTGACCCCTTTTGTTCCCTTCCTATTCACCCTGTGTTCTTCTGTTCCCACTGTACTCCCAAAGAATTACCTGTCTTATTTCTAAGTCATAAATTTAATAAAAGTTTAGAAATACTTGCTATATTGCCAAAAGAAAAAATATTAAAATCTGAAAAGCTGGAAGAACATATTTGCAATGGTATTGCAGACTTTGTGTTAATATCCCTGTGCTAAAGGACTTTGCTTACCAGGAGAAAGTGTAACAAATATCAACAGTTAATTTCCCTGAAAAGCAAAATGATTCTATAATAAACATCTGCATCCAAACCACATTTGGTAAAGAAATGAGAATTAAAGGATGTCACAGTATGTGAAAAAATCAGTTTGCAGAAAATTATGTGACTTCAAATTCTTAAAAGAATATATATGTATAGTGTGTGTGTATATATATATATATATATGTATGTTTGTTACTTACAAATATTTTAAGGTAGGTAAACATCTGCCTTGCATATCTAGAAAGTGTGCACCAGATTGGTAAATAGACTACAGTGAATATCTTTAGGTCATCGTGAGGTGATCATATTGATAGAAGGTGCAGAATGACTTTATTTTCAAAATATACATTTTGTAGTGTTGAATATTTATAATTAGGCAAACTTTAGGGACAGCAAGGAGCTGGTGATTCTGCAAATAAGTTTTCTCCTCTTCCATAAAGAAATACAATGTAATGCATTGGACAGAGACTGAATAGCTGAGTTCTCTGTTTGTAACAAGTACCTGGGTCCGAGGCCCTGTGATTGTAGCTAACCAATTCTGCAAGAGTATCTCCCTTGGAAACCGCTCCCTGGGGGTTAGACTGGTAGTGAACTTAGGGGGCAGTAAGAAAAGTAAGTTCAGTCTCGTCTAGCCCCCAGAGGTCTCCTCTCTATGCCTTTGAAGAAGGGACTTCCTGTAAGGACTCCATCTTGTCCACTAACAAAGTTGCTTGGGACTTGCTCTCACCTTCTTGTGCTGCCCTCCCCAAACTTCTGCAAACCCCGAGCTCTAGACCACACAGATTCCCTTTAAGAGAGCCCTGTGAGGACATTGGTGAAACGTCACTGCCTTAAGGACACACCATGGGTGAGTTGGTCAGCATGAAGCCTTGGCTTTAGGTTCCCACAGGGCAGGAGGGACTGAGCCCCCTCCCCACCTCCATTCCAACCCACATGACACCTAGCGGACTCTCCTTTAAATGGGAAGTAGCAAGAGCCAAGGCTGACTGTTTCCCACTCTCTTGAGGTCTTGGACCTAGTGGGTCCTGACACATCCATCCTGGCACCACATGGAAAACTTCCCCTCCTGTGGTTATGGTAATGGCTGAGCCGAGATGTTCCCCTGGTTAGGGGAAAGGTCTGAGTCATGTGATCCTCTCTGGTCCAGGATTTGGGGAGTGAGGATTGTCACCTGAGGTGAGGGATATTGGAAAATAACATTCTTGAGATTTATACTAGGGGTGGAGGAGGGGCAGGGAACCCCCCAATAACCTCAAATTTTCAGCAGCCATTCAAAGTAGATTGTATTACCACTATAGCGTTTTTGAGGCTTGTTTTATAGGTCAGCATATAATCTGTTCTGAAATGTTGCATGTGTTGTCATATGCAGTGTTCTTTCTGTTAAGTAAATTTTGTTCATTTGTTTGTTTTTTGAGACGGAGTCTCGCTCTGTCGCCCAGCCTGGATTGCAGTGGCGCGATCTCGGCTCACTGCAAGCTCCGCCTCCCAGGTTCACGCCATTCTCCTGCTTCAGCCTCCTGAGTAGCTGGGACTACAGACGCCCGCCACCACGCCCGGCTAATTTTTTTTTTTTTTTGGTATTTTTAGTAGAGACGGGGTTTCACCGTGTTAGCCAGGATGGTCTCGATCTCCTGACCTCGTGATCCGCCCGCCTTGGCCTCCCAAAGTGCTGGGATTACAGGCGTGAGCCACCGCGCCCAGCCTCTGTTAAGTAAATTTTGTTAGTCGTGTTTTTTAAATCTTCACCTAATGGATTTTGTGGCTGTTTTATCTGTCATTCACTGAAGTATATTTAAGTTTCCTACTGAGAATGTGGGTTTGTCCATTTCTTCATTTACTTCTGCCAGTTTTTACTGTGCATTTTTTTCTCCATTTACTTCCATCAATTTATTGCCATGTGTATTTTGGCTTTGCACTAAAAAGTACATACAAATTTGTTTTATTAACATCTTTATGTTGAATTGAACCATTTGTCATTACAAAATATCCCTTCTTCTAGTAATGTTTTACTGAAAGTATTTTTTTCTCTTATGAATAGTTATAACAGCTTTCACTTGGTCAGTGTTTTAATGGTACATTTTTTGCCATTTTTTTCAAATGTCCTGTGTTTTGTTTTACGTATGTTCCTATTAAGGAGCATTTGATTGAATTAATTTTTAATTGAGTCTTATGATCTCTGCTTTTTTATTTGAAACCTTCAGTACATTACACTTAACATAATTCCACATATAATCTGGCTTAAATATAACATTTTCTTGTTTGCTTTACATCTATTTTCCTATTCTAATGTTCTCTTTTCCTTTGTAAAATTTAAAATTATTTTTAAATTATTAATTTTTGCCTCATTTGGATTGATAATGTGACGTTCTTCTGTCATTTTTGTAGCCTACCTTTCGGATTACAACATCCATTCTTGCCTCTAATGTACGTTAGTTCTTTTACATATCCTTGGACAACACAGGTACCCTCCAATATTTTAACTATTATAATACCCCTCCCAGTATATTGGTGTGCATTTTTAATTATATGCATTTATATATTTAAATTCCTTTTAAAAATTATTTTTAATTATTATCTTAAGTTCCGGGCTACATGTGCAGGATGTGCAGGTTTGTTACATAGTTAGACGTGTACCATGGTGGTTTGCTGCACAGATCAACCCATCACCTAGGTATTAAGCCCAGCATGCATTAGCTATTTTTCCCAATGCTCTCCCTCCGCTAATCCCACCCCTCCGACAGGCCCCAGTGTGTGTTGTTCCCCTCCCTCAACAAACTAATGCAGGAACAGAAAACCAAACACTGCACGTTCTCACTTATAAGTGAGAGCTGAACGAGAACACATATTTAAATTCTTTAAAGACATTATCATTGTGTTATATAGTCAGTATTCATTTAGATTTTCCTACGTATTTGCCAATGTAATTATTCTTCATTCCTTCTTGTAGTTACGTGCCTCAATCTGGGATCATATTTCTTTGGCCTGAGGATGAATCTTTAGTTTTGACTGGTGACAAATTTGCTTAGCTTTTGTTTGCATTAAAATGTCACAAGTAGGGCCGGGCGCGGTGGCTCACGCTTGTAATCCCAGCACTTTGGGAGGCCAAGACAGGTGGATCACTTGAGGTCAGGAGTTTGAGAACAGCCTGGCCAACATGGTGAAACTTTGTCTCTACTAAAAATACAAAAATTAGCTCAGCGTGATGGTGTACACCTGTAATCCCAGCTACTCAGGAGACTGAAGCAGGAGAAGCACTTAAACCCAGGAGGCAGAGGTTGCAGTGAGCCACGATCGTGCCATTTCATTCCAGCCTGGGCAACAAGAGTGAGACTCCAGCTCAAAAAAAAAAAAAAAAAAAAAAGTCACAAGTAGCCTGGAAAACATGGCAAAATCCTATCTCGACAAACAAAAATTAGCTAGGCATGGTGCATGCCTGTAGTCCAGCTACTCTAGAGACTAAGGTGGGATATCGCTTGAGTCCAGGAAGCGGAGGTTGCAGTGAGCCAACTACATGTCACTGCACTCCAGCCTGGGCAGCGACAGAGTGAGACCTGTCTCAAAAAAAAAAAAAAAGGTCAGAAGTGTGAAAAAAAAATCACTTAAAGTGCTTTTTTCTATTTTCTCACTCCACAACAACCATCAGCACAGAAGACTTCTGTGATCAAATGTGTGGGGGAGTTTTCCCCACCAACAAGCAAGCAATCAACTTTATAGTAAACACCTGCTGTGTGTCCGCTAATTTAATTTTGATAGCGTCAAAATTAAATTAGGTTACCTGGAGATAGCATCAGATCCCACAGGTTGGGGGCTCAGTCCCCAAGACTGGCCCCCTCCTTCAGACACCACCCATCGGAAGTCTGGGGCTCCAGAACTTCTGACTGATCGCCTTCAAGTTGGAGTTCCTATGACCCTCTTTTTGAATGTGATTAATTTGCTAGAATGGCTCACAGAACTCAGGGAAACACTTACATTTACCAGCTTATTATAAAGAATATTGCAAATAATGCAGACAAATAGATGTATGGGGCAAGGTAGCGGGAAGAGATGTGGAGCTTCTATGCCCTCTCCAGGTGTGCCACCCTCCAGGAACTTTCATGTGTTCATCCATCAAGAAGCTCTCTGAACTCTGTCCTTTGACTTTTTATGTAGGCTTTTTATGTATGCATGACTGATTAATCCATTGGCCATTGGTGACTGACTTACCCTTCAGCCCCTTGAAAGTCCCAGCCCTTTAATACTGCCTTGCTCTTTCCAGTGACCATCCCCGATCCTGAAGCTACCTAGGGACTGCCAGCCTAGCATACAAAAAGACTTCACTTTGGAGTTTATAAAAATTTTAGGATCTGTATGCCAGGAAACAGGGTTGAAGATCTAATATATGTTTTTGCAATATCACAGATGTTTATTTAACTTCCATTTTTGTATCTTCAAAAAAAACCGGAAATTAAATAAACACACAATTCTAGGCCTACGGCTATTATACTTTAGCACTCTGGATATATAACATTACTTTCTTCAAGCTACATTATTTCTGTTTAAAAATTACATATCGATCCAGTCTTATTTTGGCTCATTTGAAGATAACCCATTGTTTTGATTTTACTTTGAATATTTGCTTTTTTCTTTGGATTTCAACAGCTGTACTATGGTGGACCTGGGTTTGGTTTTCCTCATGCCCCACTGTACTTGAAATATATATTGCTTCTTGCATCTGTGACTTGGTATCTTTTGTTACTTTTTGAAACCTTGAAATACTGCTTTTGCACTACTCTCTTTTCTTCCTTCTAGAACTCCAATTAAACATGCTTGGTGTATTCACTGTATCTCCTTTAATTTTGCCCCATGTCTTTTTGTATTCTTCATAATTTTGCGTCTTCATACTTCATTCTGGATATTTTCTTCAGATCCTTCTTTCCAAACCTCCTTGTTGTTCAAGGAGATGTAAAAGAACTAATATGCATTAGACTGGTAAGGCAAGAATGTACATTGTAATCTGAAGGGTAAAGACCACAAAAGTATATCTGTTATGTTATGCTGCTAATCGCAAAATTGTTCTTAATTACAGTTATTGAATTTATGAATTCTAGAAATTCTGTTCATTTTAATATATTTTCCAATTCTTGGCTGAAATACTTAATCTTTTATATTCTTGACAATAATGCCATTATCTGATTATCTGGATTTTATGTGTTTTTTATTGTCCTTTTTATTTTTTATTTTTTGCTTGCTTGGTTTTTAATCATGTCATTTTTATCTCCTTCTAGATTTTTTTTTCTGGGAACTATATATAATAAATTGTAGATTTATTTATTTCAGTCTTAGGATGAAGTTGTCTTGCTCCAGGGAAGATTTTTTTTCTGTCAACTTGCTACATTGCAAGGAAAACCCCAAATCTCTTTAATCTCATTGATGATTGAGATGATTAATTTGGACTTCAGTCCCTTGGAGGGCTGGTCTATTTCTAGTTTACCCGTATTTACCTGACATAGCTCTTAGAGGTTCCTATCTAAGCCTGAGTGGTTTACCAAGGTCCCCTCTCCTTGACATACCCAACTTCATATTTTATGCTCTTAGCTCTATGACTCTGTGGGAATTTGGTACAAATTCACAGCATTTTAGCATCTTACCTATATCCTCAGGAATCATCAACTGCTGCTAGAAAAAAATCAGCCCCCAGGATTGGGATTACATTCTGAGTTTCCTTTTTTCCCCTGGTATTTCCCCCATAGCATCTTATTGTATCATTAGCTTTTTGATGCCTTTAAATAATTTTTTATTTTAAATTATTTTCCACACTTTTCTAGTTGTTCTCAGTTGGAAGTTTGGTGCAACTTAACTAGTCTCTCTTTGCTGGAAGAAAAACTCGGTTTATTTTTTCAAATGCTGAGTTTGGTATAGCTCTTATTATCCTCATTATTATCTTCTTTACTGTGTCTTCTCTCTAATGTTTGGAAGACAATGTCACAGGAATGGGAAAACAAATGTAATGTGCTTTCCATGAAGTTTTCCAGATGAACCTATATGGCTAGCATGGATTCGGTATATCAGAAGTTTTTCTCGTTTTATTGTATTGCCATTGCTCATCCTCATCTTATGCTTCCATCCTTGAGTGTTTGCCTCTTGTTTATGAGACTGTCAGGTCTCTCAGCCTTCAACTACTCTCTGATATCTCAGCCACTCCCCTGATAATAAATTCTAGATCCTTCTCTTCCCGCCATCCTCCTGACTAATTATGAATATATACATTGAGGGAATGTTTTTCAAAATATAAACTTTAAAAAGGGCAATTGTTTTATCAACATATACACATTTTCAAAATGGTTGGTGAACTGGTGAGAATGTAAGCTCATTCACTCACTCTTGATTAACATGCAGATAAGTATAAATGTATATTTTAAATGCCACTTCTAAAAATCTCTTAAATTTGAAAGCATTCATGTTTTGACCAAAGTAATCCACTTGTAGAATTATTGCAGGAAAAACTGTAAACAAATAATAGAATGTATATATAATCCTATTCTTCATAGCATTGTTTACAGTAGCAAAACTTTGGAAAGATTTATTAAAATTTGAAATTTTATTAGTAGATTAAACTTGTGACAGATTATTATTTTTTTTTTTTGAGACGGAGTTTCACTCTTGTTACCCAAGCTGTGATCTCGGCTCACTGCAGCCTCCACCTTCTGGGTTCAAGCGATTCGCCTGCCCTAGCCTCCCGTGTAGCTGATATTACAGCCATGCGCCACCATGCCAGTCTAATTTTGTATTTTTAGTAGAGATGGGGTTTCTCCGTGTTGGTCAGGCTGCTCTTGAACTCCCAACCTCAGGTGATCCACCCTCCTCGACCTCCTAAAGTGCTGGGATTATAGGCATGAGCTACCGTGCCCGACCTGTGACAAATTTTAACTATAATAATAATCGAATGCATAAATTATATTAAAGTCAGAAATTGTTATTTAGATATTTTAGAGAATATGAAAAAGGTAAACTTTGAACTAATCATATTTATTCTTTCCTGAGCTTTCAGCTCAATGAGATTCAACCATCAGTTCTTGCTCTGGTAAACAGGTGACCTTAGCTTTAATTTCCACAATGTCTTTAAAGGAAAGCATATTAATTTGATAAATAATAAAAATCAATTAGGTATTATTTCTGAACATGCAATGATGTAAAATGTTAACTGAAAGAGTAGGTTACAGATATTTTTACAATATGATTGCAGTTTGAAAATATATCTGTGTATATATAACATATTCAATAGCATACAAGCATACAGCAGCAAACATATTCACTTATCACGTCTCTCTCTGTTTCTATCTCTCAGTCTCTCTGTCTTTCTCCCTCTCAAATTATTTGTTAAAGAAACTGGGTCTTTTGTCATACATTTGGTTCATTGCCTATCCACAATGATGAAGTCCTAAATTGCTGCTGAGGCCTGATCAGATTCAGGTTTAATGTTTGGCAAGAATATTTCATAGGTGGTACCCATAACAAAGTACATGATATCTGGTTATTTCCCTTTTTGTGATTTTTACAAGGCATTAATGATCATTGTATAAATTCTTTATTTAATTAGAAGTTTTTGAATGACGATAGTCAAATTCTATCTCGCCTTCTTCATATATTAGCTAGAATATTCCTATAAAAATAAAATTTCATCAACAATTGGCTACCTTTATGTACAGCTTGCACAGGGAAGGCAAAATAAATATTTGATTCTTCCCTTTTATTTACAAATTTTCATAAATATAAGTTGGTTTCCTGGCATTCTACAAATGTCATCAATAAGGATCTTCTTGGTTGTTGTTTTTGAGTATCATTATGAACTCATGGCTTTTTAACATATTGATGGGATTCAAACCCTTGTTATAAGATTTTTGAGCAGGGGAATGAGAAGATTTGACTTATGCTTCAAAAAAATCACTCTTCCTGCTCTGATGAAAATGTATGGTGAGGGAGCAAGTGTAAAAGCAGAGGGACAAGTTGGAAGGCAGTGTAATTCAGGAGATAGATGTTGGTGACCTCGCCAGGGTAGTAGCAATGGAGGGAATGAAAAGGGGCCAGACTCTGGATATATTTTAAAGGTAGAGTCAAGAGACTTTCCTGATCAATTGGATGTGAAATATGAGAAAAAGAGAGCACTCCAAGCTATCATCAAATTTTGGGGACTGAACATTTCTGGATCAAATGCTCTAACCCACATTTAATTTCACTTCCAGGGCCATACAGGGAAAGTTCCAAAGGTTGTGAGTAACAAGACTATCTTGACCATGGGTCACACAGTGAAAGCAATGACTTTTCAGAGGAGTTCATCTGAGGCCTGGTCATAATAAGTATATTGTAAAGTGATCAGGACTGAATAGAATGTTTACTCGCAAGTATGTCCTGAGATAACATGGAGTAATTAATATATAATACATATAAAATACAAACTTATGGACGGGCACAGTGGCTCATGTCTGTAATCCCAGCACTTTGGGAGACCGAGGCAGGCAAATTTCTTGAGCTCAGGAGTTTGAAACCAGCCTGGGCAACATGGTGAGACCCCATGTTTACCAAAAATTAAAAAAAAAAAATAGCCTAGCATGGTGGTGTGCACCTGTGGTCCCAGCTACTTGGGAAGCTGAGGTGGGAGGATTCAGTGGAGCTCAGGGGGTGGAGGTTGTAGTGAGCCAAGGTCATGCCTCTGCACACCAGCCTAGGTGACAGTGTGAGACCCTGTCTCAAAATATATATATAAAATAAAATACAAACCTAGAGAATCTTAAATTTAGATGCTAAAAGGAAGTTGGCTTCAGATAGTCTAATTTCCTTAATCCCCACCTCCAAAACCACTAGCATTACCGTTGTTTCAGTTGAATGTGATAAAAATAAAATATCCTTTGTGAATACGCTTATGGGAAAGATAATTGATACTATCTTGTAGATGTAAATTAAACTTCCAAATCTTGCCACATGGTGAATTGAACATGTTGGTGGGGAATACGGAGGGTGAACAAGGAAATTCCTAGGAGTAAATACAGTGTGAAATATAACTGAAACACTTTATAAGCATTCCTGAGTCCACAATTATTTGATAAAGTAGACTTGCTAGCAAAGAAAACCAATAGAAACAAAAAGAATATTACATAATGATAAAAGGATCAATCCACCAGGAAGACAGAATGATCCTACTTGTGTACACACCCAAACAGCAGAGGCTCAAAATACATGAAAGAAAAACTGATGGAGCTGAAATAGCCAAGTCCACAGTTATCATTGGGGCATTCAACATCCCACTCTTAGCAATTGATAGAATTACTATATAGAAAATCTACAAGGTTATAGAAGATCTGAATAGTATAATCAATACAATAACCAGATCTACATGACATATATAGAACATTTTACCCAACAACAGCAGAGTACACTATTTTTCCACATGTCTTCTAACATTCATGATAGACCATGTTCACAGACATAGCCCATGTCCTGGGCCATCAAACAAACCTCAATAAATTTAAAAGAATGAAAGTCATACAGAGTATTCTCTCTGATGACAGAAAAATCGCTAAACACTTGGAAACTATAGTTGACACCATTTCTGATCATTGTTCAGCTCCTTATTATAGAAGAGTGGAGGTTAGAAGCATTGTCTTCTCAGCTGAAAGGCATTTTAAGCTCAGCAAAAAGAAAGCTCACTCTGTGTATTTCCAGAAGAGTATTGTTGAGGTCAAGGCTGGAAGCAGAGAGACAGTTTAGCAGAATGATGCATCAATCCATCCTGTCATGAAAGCTTGCACTAGAAAAGACAGTACAGCTTGCTGATTGTTAATAAAATCAATTTGGTGGCTGATTGCATTTGGGAAGTGTGAGAGAGGTTGCCTATCAGGTTTTGGTGAGGCTGTTAGACTACAATGGCATAACAGAAGGCAACATTTGGATCCTTCCTGGGGTTTGGTTGATGTCCAGTCTAATCCATGAACATTCACACTCTGTTCTTTATAAATCCTGCTCCATTTTCCAAATAGTTCCACACGGTTACCTCCTCCTTTAAGATCTCTTCCCTAATTGTGTCATTTGTGAGAAAAGGCTCTCCTATCTGGACAGGTAGAGGAGTTTGCTTTCTGGGGTTTGTGTGACTGCTCTATTAGGGCAGGTTGGCACTTTGCTTGCCTTACTATTATGTTAGGCCAAGAAATGGTACATGGTATATGACCACTGATTTGTCTTTGAACTTTAATTTTTGTTCCTAATTTCAGAACACAGTGATGGTAGCAGCTCTCCTCAAGGAGAAAATAAAGGTCGAGATTCTTCCCAGGGGAGTTTTGGAAAGGAGAACTTTCATGATGAACATGATGGGTATGAGCTCCCACCTCCCCACCTTCAGAAGGAAGATGAAAATGTAGAGGTGGGGGATGTCCACGAGGACCCCCAAATAAGAAAGTAAGTGACCAGGCAGGCTGGTTTGCACATAGCAGCCCCTGGGACTTTGTAATTCTTTCACTCTCTGTAGTTTTATTTTTCCTCTCCTTGAAAAACTGAAGAATGCTAGAAGTGAAGTAATGGCTGAGAAATCCTAATTGCAGACCTGGTTTTAAGTGAGTGGAGGGTGTATGAAAAACTGTGTCACATTTCTATGCATTTCTATACATTTATAGACATATCTTTTTATCCATTTCCCTACAGCATCCCCTCTACCTTACAACCCAATAGTAGGAGTGTGGAATGCCGTAGTGAATACCAAGATAGAATTCCTCCAGAGAGAGAAGTGGAGAAGAACACACAGAATGGAGACCTGGGGACCTGGTTCAAGGTCACAGTGAGTGTCCTGAGAAAATGCAAAAGCTGTGCAGGAAAGGTGGGTCAGGGAGAGTTGTGTTAATCACACGTAGAAATACTAGATATTTTTCTGAGGACGGGGGGAGTTAACATCTAAGCACAGGTTCAGAAAAACAATGTAAAGGGAACAGGCTGACTGCAAGAGGACACAAGAGGTTGTCTAAATGCAAAGGTGGAAACTACTGCCAAGAAGATGGAGCAGCTCTCCACAAGATGCCTCATGGCTCAAGCTAAGTGTAGCAGTGTTGAGTTTCTGGAGTTCTTGTCAGAGGTGCAGGCTGGATCTTCAATAGGTAGAATCTCCTAGCACCTTAAAAAAAAAAAAAAAGGATCATTTAGAACATCTGAATTTTATTATCTGGGAGGTACATTTGAAATAGAGAGAAAAGGACAACTAGGAAATCCATGTCTGGCAAAAAAAAAAAAAAAAAGTTGAAATCATGTTAATGGTCCCTATCTTAGAAGTCTTTTAAAACTCCATTAGAAGGTTAGAATAAAACACTTAGTTGGATTATTTTCCAGACTTAATTCCATGTTGTCTCTCTTCTATCCTATCCCTTCTTCTCACCATTAGATTCCCTATGGGATAAAGTATGATAAGACTTGGATAGTGAATTCAATCCAGAGCCATTGCAATGTCCCCTTCACTCCAGTCGCTGTAAGAGAAGATGGTGAAGCCAGATGAGTGGGCACAAGGGAGGGGGAGACGCCTGACTCAGCAGGAGCCACTGGCCTCTGACACTATTGCTCTTGCCTTTATTCCCTGTAGTTCCACTACAACAAAAATCAGGCCCACTTCTTTGTTCAGGATGTTAGTGCTGCCTGTGCATTAAAGAAAGTCAACTGCAAGATTCATGATGAGAAAAACCAAAAGGTATATGTCAACAACACTCCCTATATGTAGTCTCTGGGAAGGAGGACAGGCCAGGGGCTAGTCTTTGTCTTTTTGAGATTAGAGGTCCTGGTGCTTACCTTGCCTTGCCTTCTTGCAGGTGTTTGTTTTTGTCAATCTTTCTACTAAACCCCAGTCTATGCAGAAAATGTTGAAACCAAAAGAGATGGCACAGCTAAAGGTAATACATACTCAAGGCACCTCTTCTTCCCCCGCACCTATATTTCCCTGTCATGACCACCACACCACCAGAGCCTCAGAGCTGCTTTCTTCGTCTCTGTCTCTGCAGTTGACCCTGAACAAACGATATGATGTCTCCCAGCAAGCTCTTGATCTCCAGAGGCTCCGCTTTGACCCAGGTATGGCTGACAGCAGCAATTCTAGGGCAAGTAGGGGCAGAACAGTCTGCCTGGGAGGGAGATTTATATGGATGGCAACTTTGGGACGGGTTGGTGCTGGTGCTGGTCCAGTCAGGCCCCTCACAGCCTTCTGCTTCCCTTCTCTTGGCTTCCTGGAGACTTGGTGAAAAATCATATTGATATAATCCTGAATCGAAGAAACTGCATGGCTGCCACTCTGAAGATCATTGAAAGGAATTTCCCTGAGGTGAGGCCTTAGGCCCAGTGCTAGTATTTAATTAGAGGGGTGGAAGAGATGGGGTGAAAGGCAGATTTGTCTCCAAGCCTCGAGATAGTATCCGTCACTCTAACTGTTCTTACCCAATAGCTATTATCTTTGAACTTGTGTGACAACAAACTGCACCAGCTGGATGGCCTGCCTGACATTATAGAGAAGGCTCCCAAAGTCAAGACCCTGAACCTCTCCAAAAATAAGGTGAGAAGGGGGAGCCAGATCAACTTTGGATGGAGGGTGGATGGCAGTATACACCAGGATAATGGCAACAAGCAGGCAGAGGTACCTGTGGGTGACTGTGAGGGCTGGGGGAATTCGGGACCCAGGGTTGCAGGTGTCTCTCTTTCCCTGGCCCTCCTTCTCCAGTTTCCTCCCCATCTTTCTTAGCTGAAGTCAGCATGGGAGTTGGGCAAGGTGAAAGGGCTGAAGCTCGAAGAGCTCTGGCTAGAAGGGAACCCCTTGTGCAGCACCTTCTCGGACCAGTCCGCCTATGTAAGGTCAGTGGCAACCCCTGTCGCCCCTCCTGGGCACCTTTGCTACCTGGGTGACTGAGCTGTGTCTGAAAGTGCCCTTCTGCAGGAAGGAGTGGCCTTGGTCCTCTGGGAGAACCACAGACCTCCCCTCCTACTCTCTCTCTCTCTCCTCTCTCTGTGTTACTCACTCATCTGTGCTTAGAGGTCTCCTTTCCTTCCTCTGACATGCTCCCCTTTTCACCTGCTCTGGGGTGTGTTTCCCACCTGTCTCCACCAAGCTTCCTCCAGTGTGCCCTCCATAAGTGTGCTCCAGGAAGCGGGGCTCTCCCACCTCCCCAGGACCAGCAGTATTGAGATGCTGGTGCCCTGGACCGAGAAGACTCCTTTAGTCCAAGGCCTCATGCTGAGACAGGCCTTCCTGCCTCCATGCTGAGATGGGGCTTCCCTCCCCTGTCCCAAGAGGGGTTCTCCTTCTCTTGCTCCAAAAATGTCCCGCCACCTGTCCTGGGCTGACATTGGGGCTTCCCTGCTTCATACTGAGGGCCGAGGCCCTGGGTGGCTGCTGTCATGCCATCTCTTCCTCTGGCCCAATGCCAGGAACTGGGCCCTCCTTGAGGAGAAACCTGGGTTTCCTGAGTCAAGGGACCAGAAGCGAGCCACGTTCCTGAGGCAGGAGTGGAAGGCAGAGGGCCGAGGAGGTTGAGGAGACAGAAGGACAGGCCTCTCAGGGCACTGCCCCTCTTTCCCTCCACACCTCACATCATCCTGCCTGGGCCCTCAGAGGAGCCCTGGGTAGCCTGAGACAGGTAGCATTTCTCAGTCAAGGTGCCAGCACAGAGGGGCACAGGAGTCAGGGACCATCAGAAGAGAATGCAGTGGTCGGGAGAGGGGGTCCCCAGACTCTGAACCCCATGCTGAGCTGGGGCCTGACCCTTCACTCCTCCTGGGAGAAGGTCTCCTGTCCCCGTGGCTGCTCTGTTTCCCATGCTCAGCTCAGACTGAGCTCACACAGGTGAGAAAGGCTCCAGCCGCATCCAGTGGGCCCCAGCCCAACAGGTGCATGTTTTCCTTTCCTGCCTCGGTCCCCAGGGCCAGCTGGGGGCAATGAGGGAAAGGGCTGCAGCAGGGGAGCCCTTTTCTCCTCTATACCTCCCTGAACTCCACCTCCACAGTAGAGCATCTTTCCCTTCCCTTTACTTTGCATCCTGTTTCTCCCTTGTCTCTCCTCTCCTATGTCTCACCTGTCTCTCCCTCCCCTGCCTTCACCCCATTTCTGTTGTCATCCCCTCTGCCTTCCCCTTTCTGTCTCCTGAGCCCAGCCTCACTCAGCTACCTATCCCAGCATCCTGGGCCATCCCTAAGGGCTGACCTGGTCTTGGCCAGGGCCAGGCCAGGCAGATTGATGGACAGCCAGTGGGGTAGCAGAGCCCTGCGCTCCCACTCCATTTCCTGCTCCCTGCGGAGCCTTCCACAGTGTCGGGATTGGACAAAGGGGAGGGAGGGAGGGGGATGAAAGCCCTGGAACCTGGGCTCCCAATGCTGCTTCTTGTGGCACTGGAGAAAAGAGAGTCGGGGCAGTCTAGGTGGAAGCTAACCAGGAGGAAGGAGAGGGAGGAGAGTGAGAGGTGGAGGGAGAGGGAGAGGGAGAGGGAGAGGGAGAGAGGCTGTGCAACTCTGAATTGTCAATCACTTCATTCTATTTTTTGTTATGGACAGTACCATCCGGGAATATTTCCCCAAGTTGTTACGCCTGGTAAGTATGTATAATACTGTCATCATTGTCTCCTCTTACTCAAGTACATGACCTCCATGCCTGCCCTCAAGTCCTTTGGCTCTTGCCTAGATTACATGCTTGTATCCAACCCTCATCCACTTTAGAGGCATAGATTCCTGAAAAAGACAAGAATATTCTACCTGGAATAAAATGTCCTTGAATACACAGGCACTCACACTCACTAATTCACACAAAAGTTGCATCTAATAATATAGATGCTTCCAAGACCCACTGTTGAAGACTCCAACTGTTGTCTTGCTGATAGAATTTTGAGGGGGCAATTTCACGCCTCACCTCTAACCCTTTTTCCCTTCGGGCCTGTTCATCTCCTTGCTCATCCAGCTCTACCTCCCTGGTATGCACTGCTGACTGCCTCTTTCCTTGCTCAGGATGGCCAGGAGTTAGGATCTCCAATTATAATTGGCATTGAAGCCCCTGAGATAATAAAACCTTGTAAGGTAAGGAGGGACCAGATTTGAGATATTGTAAGGGACGTTTTTTAAACCACATAGTTTCAAGATGTCTTTTGATTCCAGGAAAGCTATAAAGGATCTGAGACCATAAAGAGTCTGGTACTTCAGTTCCTGCTTCAGTAAGTACCCCAGAATCCTAAGGCAGTGGAAGGCTGAGACAAGACAGGCCACCCAAGCAAATGTCTATTCATGGATTTAGGAAGTCTTCAAGTTTCATTTGGGGGCCCAGGCCACAGAGATAGCCTATCCCCACTGCTCTTTCACAGGTATTACTTGATCTATGACTCTGAAGATCGAAAGGGTCTCCTCAGTGTTTACCATGACAAGGCCTGCTTCTCCCTGACCATTACCCTCAACCCTGAGGACCCAGAACCGTGAGTGTCACAGCTCTGACTCTGGTCTGGGGCCATGTGGCTCCCCTGAAAAGGCCAGTTCCTGGAAATGTCTGCACTACACGGACCACCCACTCCTGTTCCTCCTCTTCTCCTAGGAGCAGCTTGGAAAAATACTTCAAGGATAGCAGGAATATAAAGAATATCAAGGACCCTCGTGAGTGTGTGATGGGGGAAGATCAGCATGGGAAATGGGGTGGAAAGTCAATAATAGGGTACAGGGTATAGGGTGTGGCAGCCCTCAATGCTTCTCTTTCTCACACAGACCTGAGGGTTCAGTTGCTGAAGCACACAAAACGTGAGATTGTGGACTCCCTCAGTGTATTGCCTAGAACTCAGCATGACCTTAACTCCTATGTGGTAGATTTGTGCATCCAGACGGTGAGCACCTGCTTCCTCCCTCAGTCAGGCCCAGAGAGTTGGAGTAGGTAGGAAGTAGGTAGGTGGGTAGGAGGATCATGAAGGCTCTAGTTTTTTCTTCTTCCCTTTCAGGAAAGGATGCTCTTCTTTTCTGTCAATGGAGTATTTAAGGAAGGTGAGTGTCTATATATAGAGTCTTCTCTCCACATCACTCATTACTCCCTTCCCCAGGCTGGGCTTACTCCAATAACGCTCTCAGCTTCCCAGGTTGCTCTTCTCCCCTCCCCTTGCATTCTTCCTCTCCATTTGTGTTCTTCCTCTCCCGGCAACTTTCTGTTATCTTTGTGTTCTTTCCTTCTTGTTCCCTTCCCTTTGTGTTCTTCCTCTCCCCCAATTTTGTTCCCAAACGTCATTACTTCCTGACCTACATCCATACCTGTCTGCACCTGCACCGCTCAGGCGTTAGGGACACAGTCTGTAGAGTTTGATGGTTCTCATCCCAGGTTGTTACTTTGTGAACTTGGAACATTGTCCTGTTACCTAACCCCTCAGTTTCCTCATTTGCAAAATGGGGTTGGTAAGCTCATCTCCTGGGCAACCGTGTAAAATGAATAAAGCGAACTTATGTTTGTCAAGAGACCTGACACATGTTATGGGGTTCTATCCCTGGGAGCTAATTGTTCCTATTGTTGCCCTCTCAGTCCCTGAAACCCCCTCCTGACTCTCAATGAAAAGTTGTCCCAGCCTGGCTCCCTTCAGGGTGCAAAAAGATTATCTCCCTGACTGGAGAACCCTGTATGAATTTGTAAAGCATATGCAACTGTAAGGAGGTATCATTGTTTGTTGTTTTTAAAGTGGAAGGAGAGTCTCCAGGTTCTGTTCTTGCCTTCACCCGAACTTTCATCTTGACTTCTATCAGCAATTCCAAGTAAGTGCTGTGTTGTGGGTGGGAGTACCCATCCTGTCCTGGAGCCAATGGTGTGGTAATGTGGTGGTGCAGTCCTCGGGATGTTCTCAGTACCATGGAAAGCCAACTGGTAGATCCAAGGAGAGGTCTAGATTATGAGAATACCAGATTCTCTTTTTGGCCACAATACTTACTAATTAGCTGTGTATCTTTTTGTCCAGTTACAAGATTTCTCTGTGAAACAGTCCTTTTCTGAAAATGGGATGTCTACTTATTTTGTAAAGTGTAAATGCATTGGGGTTAAATCTACAAATCTAAGGAAACTGGTAGACAATCTCTCCAAAGGTGGACTCTGCAGCAGGGGTAAAGCCTACCAGCCAAGGAATCTGAAAGGTGGGCAGAGTAGCGGCTTGGAAGGAATGTGGTTCCTCAGTGGCAGTGGAAGTAGGATTATTGTTGAAAGTGTGGGGTTGTCCATTTTTCCAGTTGTCTGAGAGCTTATCTTTCCTTCAGTCTGTATATTGTGAATGACAAGCTGATTGTGAGGAATGCCAGCATGAAGGAGACCCAGAGTGCCTTCTCCATCCCAGTGCCTGCACCCTCCTCCAGCTCCTTGCCTACCCTCTCCCAGGAGCAGCAGGAAATGGTGGAGACTGTCTCCATCGAGTCTGGGGTGAAACTTGAGCAGTCTCAGAAGTGAGTGCTGGGAGTCTTTCAGGATAGATGTGAGCTGGGAAGAGTGGGGAGTGAAAAACGGAAACTTTCAGTTAATTTGTAAAAATAACTATTTAGATGTTGTGTTTCCAAAAATGAGTGGGCTCATAAAGTATATACATTAACTGTGATAATGAAATTAATTTTTAAACAATATAGAGTTCAGATCACATGACATGATCTTGTATATATAAAATCCTATGGAAACCACTTAAAAACCCGTTAAAATTAATAAACAAGTTCTGCATTGTTTCAGGATACAAAATCAATATACAAAAACCAATTGTATTATTATATACCTGTAATGAACAATAAGCAAATACAATTAAGAAAACAATTCCACGTACAAAAGCATAAAAATAACATAGGAACAAATTTAACAACAAAAAAATCCAAACCATTTACTTCAAAATCTGCAATACATTATAGAAAGAAATTAAGGAAGACCTAAATAAATGGGATGATATCCCATGTCCCTGGATTGGAAGAATTAATATTGTTAAAATGTCAATACTCCCCAAATTTATATATAGATTCAATGCAAATGCAATCCATATCAAAATCTCAGCTGGCTTCTTTGTAGAAATTAAGAGGTTAACCCTAACATTTAAATGAAAATACAATGAATGCAGAATAAAAAATAATTTTGAAAAAGAACAAAGTTGGAGGACCCACTACAAAGTTACTGCAGTCTTACTACAAAGCTACAGTAATCAATCCATACTGAGTGATACAGACCTAAGAATAGACATATAGATCAATGTAATAAAATGAGAGTCCAAAATAAACCAGAATCCTTACCTTTATGGTCAATTGTTTTTCTACCAGAGCGCCAAGAAAAAGTCAATGGGTAAAGAAAGAATAGCCTTTTCAACAACTGGTGCAGGCACAACTGGATATCCACTCACAAACAATGAATTTGTACCCCGTCATATGCCATATACAATAATAAATCAGAATAGCCAAAGGCCTAAAAGTTAGAGCTAAAACTATAGAAATCTTAGAAGGAAACAAAAGAGTGAATCTTTGTGACCTTGAATTAGACAATGGTTTCTGGCATATAACAAAACACACATACACACACAAAATTAGATAAAGTGGACTTTTCAAAATTTAAAACTCGTTTTGCATCAAAAGGCACTATCAATAAAGTGAAAAGACAACCCAAGAATCAGAGAAAATATGTGCATTATTATATATTTGATAAGGGACTTGTATTCAGAATATATAAAGAACTCTTGGAACTCAACCATAAAAATGAAAATAACCCAGTTAAAATCTAAACCACACTGAGGTATCACTTCACACACAGCAAGATGGCTACCATTTTTTGAAACTGAAATAACAAGTGTTGATAGGAGGAAAGCAATAGGGAGAGCTGTGTTAAAAGATACAAAATTACAGCTACATAGGAGGAATAAGTTCTAGTGTTTTACAACATTGTAGGATGACTATAGCTAACAATAATATGTAGTTTCAAATAGCTAGAAGGAGGATATTAAATGTTCCCAACACAAAGGTAAATATTTAAGATGATGGATATGCTAGTTACATTCATCTGCTCACTGTACATTGCATGTATCAAAGCATCATTATGTACCCCGTAAATATGTATAATTATTATGTCAATTAAAAAAATTTTTTTAATGTTGACAAAGCTATGGATAAATTGGAACCCTCATACATTGCTGGTAAGAATGGAAAATGATGCAGCCACTATGGAAAATAGTTTAGTAGTTCTTCAAAATGGTAAATATGGAATTACTATATGACACAGCAATTACACAAAGAGTGATGAAAACTTGTGTTCACACAAAAACTTGAAAATGAATGTTTATTGCAGCATTATTCATAATAGTCAAAAAGTGGAAACAATCCAAATATTCATCAATTTATGAAGATAAATCAAATGTGATATAACTATATAATGAAATATTACTTGGCAATAAAATAGAATGAAGTTGTGATACATGCTATAACATGGATGACCCTCGAAAATATTATGCTAAGTGAAAACAGCCAATCACAAAAGACTACATATTGTATGAGGTCGTTTATATAAAATGCCCCAAATAGGCAAATCCATAGAGACAGAAAACAGATGAATGGTAACCAGGGTCTGGGCAAAAAGGGGAATGAGGAGTGACTGCTAACAGGTAAGGAGTATTTTTTTTAAGGTGGTGGAAATGTTTTGGGTAGATGAAATTGTAATGGTTACACAATCTTGTAAATATACCAGAAAAATCACTGAATTGTACACCTTAAAATGGTGAATCCTGTCTTATACCACAATTTTAAAATTGGAGGATAATTTTTAGTTTTGAATTTCTATTCGTTATTTCTTGAACATCTTTTTTTGTCAATATGTATTGAGCTCTCTTGTTCATTTGAACAACCCGATTTTTCTGCTTTGTATTCTAGTGGGCAAGAATGTCAGCAACAGGCATTTTGGTTTTCCCTAGGCCTTTATTCATTGTTACAATAGTGCTCATATTGGTACATGTGTCCCAGCAAAAAGGTAGCATAGATTAAGGGTGGCATTGCATAGTCAGTGTGTCTGTCCTGGGGTAGTAATGGAGATCACCTGTTCTTCTCCCACCCCAGGTGCCTTCAGGACAGTGAGTAGAACTACACCAAAGCTGACCAGGTTTTCACTATGCTCCAGGTGAGATCTGGGAATCAAGTGGGTAAAACGTGGATGTTTCCTGTATTTCAGAAAGGCCAGAAAATTGAGGCCAGGTTGTCTGGGTATGGAACCCAGGGCATCTGGCTCTTTGGATGTCCCAACTCCTTTTCTTTAGTTCCTCTAGACCGAGAGCAAGATCCCAGTGGAGGCCTTCAAGCAAATCCCCTAAAAGGAGCCCTTTGATGTCTTCTTTGTCTTCATTCACATCCTCTTTGTTTCCTCTTTTTACCAGCCTAACTAAGGCCATGCCCAGGACTGGGGTTGGCGGCCTGGCTCACCAGAAAGCCAAAGTTAACTTGCAGGCGAGATAACATAACCACTCGAAGAACCAGTTGTTCTGTGTATTCACCCCACTCATGATCACCGTTTTATTTTCATAATAAAGAGTGATGTTACACATTGTACACTGCATGTCCTGGATTGCTCTTCCCCTGCCCCAACCATGAGCCAGCAGGGCCAGGACTGAAAGCACTGCATCCCTGTTCATCCCTGGCTGGTTGTAGGAGATACATCAATCAGGCTTGCATTCATAGGTAATTTTGTCAGTAAATCCTGATGAGAAAGGGCACACGCTCCTTCCAGAGATTGGCCGTGAGAGACAGTGGGACTCTGTCAGATGCTCAACCTGGAGCCCAACAGAAGCGGGCATGTTACCTTGGCACAACGGGGGCTTCCATCCACCGTCCCGACCCCTCCCTTTCCTGAAGGTGCACTATGCGAGGAAGAGTCTCAGGTTAGCATGTGCAGGGGGAGGGAAGATTCAGTCCATCCGCCCAGCTCATTCCTCAGAGAGCTTACACTGGGTGCTCCATGTCCATGTTCTTGAATGGGTTTAGCCACTTGTTTTCACTTCTAAGCAAACAGCAGCAGCACAGAATCTCAGGTTACGGTCATTTCGGTAGGAACTTTCTCAACAACTGGCATTTATAGCAGTTCCGAATTGCAGGCAAGAGTTGAATGGGACATTTGCACAATTTATTTTCCACACTTCTGTAATACTTGCACATTAGACAATCAGCAGGTACACTTTTCGAAATTAAAATAATAGTGGTACGACGTTTTCAAGTCACAATCCTATAAATGGGACATAGGAGAGGTACCACCAGTTTACAAATTATGCCTCCACTTTCGTGTTTGGCATATGTTATTTCCTATCAGTTGCCACTTTCCTACCACTTGCCACTTTTCAATTCTTTATGTACATGTACATTCAGGAGCCATATGTTGGAGTGTTAATCTCTTAAAACTAGGAACTAAGGGGATAGTTGCAATCACATAAAGAATAATGCCAACTTTGTTCTTCCCTGTAGTGCCTCAATAGTCAAAGACAAGCTCCTGTACCTCTCTAAGCCTTGGTCCTCTCACCTAGGGAGCAGAGACCACACTGTGCACTTCTCAGCCTCATCGTGGGGACTACAGATGGTCTCACATGTTACTTATCAACCACAGTGTCTGTTCAGGCACTCAGGCTCTCAGAGCTGCCTGGGTTCCTTTGTGTGCAGGAATCATGGAACCCATCACATGGCCCCTCTACTTCCTCTCTGTACGTCAGGCTTCCACAGCCTTGACCTCCTTTTCTAGCCAGCTCAGACCCTGTGGTCTTCCAGTCTCTCATCCTCCTGCCAGTTCCCACAATTCCTTGTGGTCTCATGCTCCTGAGCAAATGCTAACCCTAAAGTCTTCTTCATCACATACAACTGTATACCCAAAGTCACAGTTTCTAAGTAGCAAAATTGAGATGTGAAACTAGACAGTGGGGCCTCAAAGTCTTGAGTATGGAATAGCTGCACACTCATTTAACCACCAGTCTTTTATTTTAATCTCCAAAACATCATGTTGCATGAGCATTAGTGCTATTCTCATTTAAAAGAAGATAAAAATTAGGCCCAGAGGAGTAACATAGTTAATACAACTCAAGATTTTGGTATGCAGTCACTCACCTGGGCGACCGTCAACTCTAACATAGATTCATACTCAATGTAAAAATATAGTTAGACCTGAAGAAGTCAGCACAAGGGAAATGACTCAACCATTTTCCTCCGGTCATGGATAGATGTGCTCTTGGAACACCCCTTTTCTTACTCCAATCTTTAGTTCGTGTGTACACTCTCGCCATTTTTAGACACAATAAGAAAACTGTGGATTTGATGTTCAACTATAGGGTGAAGCAGCAGAGACAAGAAAGAACATAGAATGAAATGAAGGTTTCCAGGGGGACATATATTAATTTACAAGATTAATTATGTTCCTATGGTTTTTCACATTTTATTTAAGTATTAATGCTCTCTGTCTCTCTCACTAACCTCCCGTTCCTTGATCTCTCTAATTTTCTCCCACTTTCAGACCTTCTAGCACTTTCTTTCCCTTCCAAACTTGATTGCAGGCTCCATAATTTCATGCACAATTGAGGCAAAATCCTCAACTTCCTTGCAGTGTCAGCAGGGTCACTAAATTTTATTCATGATAATAGCCTGGGAATCAGAAATTGGTAAATGCACACTGGTGCCAGGGACAGTATTTCTATAGTTAACTGCTTTCCATTGAATTGGAACTATTAAAGTTCAAAAGATATATTCTACCCCCTTTGCAAAACAACCAAAAATTAATGGCAAGTGAAAAATTGGAAAAGTATTTGTAACATATTTTAGTGAGAGAAGATTAATATACTGGACATATAAATAAATCTGACTTAGCTGAAAGAGTGATGTCTATGGCCAGCTATTATATATTTGAAAGAAATATTAAACGAATTCAAATATATACACATTTTAAAGTATATATAAAAAGCAAGAGATAAATACATGAAAAAGCAAATTTCAGAATATACATATAATAAAATCCAACTGATTAAAAAGAATACATATTTACATATTAACATACATATATGAATTTCATTGTTTGAAAATCATAGTAATAATAGATATTTACTTCTAGTGCTTTGTTCATGGTTTCTACAACTCTTCGGTGATACCTCTTACTTTCCTCTATTAGAAAGTATTTTCCTGTTAAATAAGGTATCAAAAGCATCAATCACAAGAAATAGAGAAAAAAATATTAGGAACAACTTGTATTTGTATGTTCTAAACTAAAATGGAACACTTTATTATCAATATTTTAATAGATAAATCTTTCAAATAAAAATACATATATTATACACAAATATATATGGGAAATATAAACTTAGTTTTCAAGAGTGGACATCTTGGCAACACAAGGGACCCTTGTAGTGATGAAACTTCTGTATCTTTATCAATATCAATACATTGCTTGTAATATGTATTAAAGTTTTGCAAGATATTAACTTTGAGGGAACCTATGTAAATACCATAAGAGATTGCTCTGCATTATTGATTACAACTGCAGAATCTACAATTATCTCAAAATAAAATGCTTAATTAAAAAAATGAAGGGGAAATAAACATGTTTGCAGTTTTTTAAAAAAAAGCATAGACATCTTGTGGGAATGGGATGGGAAGGAGATAACATGGTAATTTTCTTCTATAAATACATGTCTATTGTATTAGGGGTTATATTTAGAATAAATAATGAATTTTGAAATCTGCAAAAGTAACATTATATTTTGATAACACTGGATACCCCTGCTTGCAAATCACATCCCTAAAGTAATGTTAATCATATATTTTTTAATTTAAAAAGAAGATTGCAAAAAGCTTTTCAGACTATGTATCTGTGTTTATGAATTATGTATATAGCTCATTGTGTATAATCCCATATAAATCCATAATACCCATAACATTATAGAAGGTTAATGTTAAGAAGGTTGAATACATAACACTTAGACGACCTCATTTTCTCCTTACAATAATCCTAGTTAGGTAATGTCCGTAATCACCCCTCACTGACAATAAACCCATCCTTTGTACTTACCATGTTTTTGAATTGCAATATCATTTTACAAATATATGTACATATATGTTTCTGTATCTATGTATCTCTGTCTAACTATCTATCTACTTATCTATCTATCTATCCACTCTCCTAATAAAGTTCCCATTTACTGCTTACCTGCTATGACAAAGGTCAGAGCAAAGAGGTCACGGTCATGAGTGACCACAAGGCCAGTGGCTACAAGGGCATGGCCCACACGACCAAGCTATGGATGTGAGGCAGTCACCCTCCTAAAGCCACCAGGACTAGCTGTACATCATCCGTCACCAATCTAGAGATCAGTCTAGAGTATTTACCTTCTAGCAAGAAGCAAATGAAGATACAGAGAAAAAACCCTGAATTTTAGAAGCCTTTGTTTTCTCCAGCGCCATTGCCCCTTTCCTCCCCGCCTCCACAATACAACTACCCATGTACCCAAAGCATCATGATAGAGAATGGTTCGGTGAAGGGGAAGGTTAACCTAAGATACTGTGAGTATTCTCAACAGGACAGACATAGAATGCTGAACTAAGCAAAGCCAGATGTAGGTGGAGCCAATTAAGATGATCAAACCAGTTAAAGAGACAATGGCCCTACATATTTTTTGCACACTGGAATACATGTTGAGCAAATTTGAGGCACCGCTCAGATAAGGCCATAAATTTTTCTCCTTATCCTCAACTTAGTGCTAAATATATGAGTACATCATACTCTTCCCAGTATGCCCTTTTCTTGTAGCCACCTGAAGTAACAGGATAGAAATCCACCTAAAATCAGATTCAGATGTCAAGACTGATAATGCCACACACACAGCAAGAGGGTATGAGAAGATTTATTACTAACATAATGAACCTTCTCAGGAGGGCACGGTGGGCCTCCCAAACTGGTCTAAAAACAGCTTGAGAGACCAAGAATAGGAGACTGACTTGAGATTTGTGTGTTGTTTAAGGGGTAGGGCCAGGGTGAGAGTTCCTGTGCACAATCAGGTGCTTGCATGGTTTGAATCTCTTACTGGTGCTGAAGGACAGAGCACCTAGACTTTCTTATAAGCTTACCTGGTGTGGGGCAGAAGGGAAAGATGCATGACTGAGGCTTAAAAGCTGTCAGCAAATATTTTAAAAAAGAGTTAGACTATTATATGCTTCCACGTGGAAATTTACTTTAGAAAACGTCATTCATGACAAGATTCTCCTGTAGAAATCCCAGGCATGTGTAATAGTGCTTTACACAAGTGCAAAGAGCCAAGCCTCACTTACAGCAACCCTGTCTTCAGCCTTAACTCACTACCACAGTCTAGTGTCTGTGGTTTCCTCTGGATCAATATGGTTTCCTCTGGATATTCACTGGTTCCTGATGGAAGATTAACGCTCTAGACATCTCTCTGAACTGGTGACTACTGAGGTACAACTGGTCTTGTTTTTGTTTTTGTTTTCTGTGCAGGTAACTGCTTGTGCCTGTTGACCAGACTATTCACCTCTGGCCTTAAGACTCTAACAACTGCAGC